AACAATGCTTCCCAATGCCGTTTCTTTACTGTCCCAAAAGGAGTCTGCAAAATTTATAATTTTGATAACAAGAATAACATAGCAAAATTTCGTAATATAATAAAATGTACTCTATTATACCTTAAACTCATGCAGCTTATCATCTAAGGTCGAGGTTCGGAAGCATTTAACTAAATGGTGGAAATCCGATATCATCCATAGTCGTCGTGAGCTGTCATATGGATGTTCACAGCTGATATTATTCTCATTTACGCCGAATATTTTCCAAACACCTCGGTTCCAAGACGCACCATCCATAACAACAGCATCAACATTGATCTCGCTATTTTCCATAAGTATAATACATTCCACGATGAGTTTATGTAACGGTTCGCTTTTGCAAGCGTTCTTTGAGAGAAAACAGCCCAATGATTGCACCCATCTACCTTTAAAAGGTACAAATTTGAATACCAAAGCATGATCTGCCGTTTTAATTTTTAAATCCTCTGGGGTGTGCTTTCCGAGGTCAACAAAACCAGAAAATTTCATTGATTGTTGATCAAAAAAAACACTTTCACTCAACTTCATCTCGTCAACCAAAATAACTCCTCGTTTTTCTCCTTTCTCCATTGTTTGACATCTTTCTTTTAAGGCAAAAAAAGTAGCAGGCTGGAAGCCGTACGTAGAACAGCTAATTTTCCGAATAAATTTATTTAGTGTATTGATCGAGGGAAGAGGTAAAATATTTCTGTGCCGCAGGAATTGATACGTGTTTTTGCTTTTTAAACGAATCAATATACACTCGTATATCCATTCTAATGTAAATCGTCGACCTTTAGCGTTCTTTTTTTTAGCAGCCTCAAAGCACGAATTAACGGCATTTTGGAATTCTGTCGGCAACTTCAGGATTGCTTCTTGTACAATAGCATTTGACTTCTTAGCACACTCTGACTTTGCTAAAAATATTTTCTGTTTCAGTTGAATTTTCTGTAAGTAAACAGTGTAGTTGTTAAAAATTTTCGGCGTCGTGAATAAAAAAGGATAAGAAAATTCTTGTTGAAGATTATGTTTATGTACTCATCTGATGAAGTTATATTAAAATATGATTAACGTTGAAGTTCAATTCCAATTTATTTAATATAACATATACTAGGTACTTAAGTAATAATACACTGCATAAGTAATGATGTATTAATATTAACTAATAATAGGTATTCTGTACTCAAGAATACATTAAAATTATAAGAGTTTTTTCATTATAAAAAATTGTTAGATTCAGCTATTTAATTTATGTTAGTAAAGAAAGAGAATTTTATTATCATTTTATAAATAAAAGATTAAAAAATTTTATGTAGTTTTGTATTATGTTATAATTTGAATGACAGAAGTTATTAAATTTAATATATAATTCTTATTTTTCCGAAATCAAAGAAATTATTTAATATTATGTACAAATATATATACAAATTTATATGTAAAAAACCACCCTTGATGAAACAAAAATATCGGGAGGTATATAAAATTATTTGATCTTGAGTCTTATTAAATACTGTCCAAAAATTGTTAAATCATTTCAAATTGCCGTAGAAAAATATAATATTTTACGACAAACATGAGTATATTGTCAATAACTACTCAATATTTTTGACTTATGTTCATATTACGAAACTTCTTGATAGATTATCAAGTAATATTATATTTGCATATTCTTGCAAATACATATATTAATATTATCCAGTAGGAAATGTTTCCTAATGATATTCAATTTGTGATGCACTGTGTAGCCATTGAAGTTGTATAAATTGGGAGGTTTGCCTGTTAAACAAATAGATAAAATAGTTTTTTAATTATTTTTTTCGGAATTTAATAACATCCGTTGAATTGAAAGTCATATAAATTTAGTGATTTTCAGACCTCATACCATTTTATAGTCATAGAGAATTTGTATGTTGATACTTTTGAAAATTAAAAAAAAAAAAAACAAAATTTATTATAAAAATAATAAACATAAAATCGAAAACGAAATGAAATGCTGCTCCAAGCCACAAGCAATTGTATTTTATAAAACTTACCATTTTTTTTAAACGTTTGCATTGCCTAACTAAATTTGAAGCACGTCTTTTTTTAGCCATTGTTGTTTCCAAATTAATTGAAGTAGAATTTCGACTCTGCAATCGATTTCGTAATATTCGACAAGGTTTACATCTTGGATTAGCTTGGTTCCTTTTATAAGTGTCATCACCAACAATCACATTTTTACAAAGTTTTGAATACCTGAAAATTAATGTAATTATATTAATTCAATTTGTATGAATCCTTTTCTCAGTAGCTCATACATTCACTTAAGCAGAAACAAGCAATCCTTACTTTATACTGTCAATCTGAGTACCAACACATAAAGGCCATCTTTCCACTGATTTCAAGTAGTCATAGATACAACTTAATGAATTAATTTTTTCGTTTAGAGGCAGTTCGTCATTGTTAAGAAAAAGAACCTGAAAAAAAATAATAATCAATGATTGTTAAAAAAAAATAGATTTATCTGCTCGGACATTCATTGATACATACAGTAATAGATGTATCCTTGTTTAAGCGTAACCGAATTTT